GATTTTTTTAGTAGCAAAATTATGCTACAGGATTAGGCCATGCTCTGTCCTGTCAGCTCTGAGTACTTACTGCAGTATTTTTAGATTGTTGAAGAAAACCAGGGCTGCAAAGAGGAAGAAAGTAGCACACATCCTCTTGAACATGCTGCGCTAGGTTTGCACCTGCTTTACTGGTGGCTGTTCATGCCCACTCTGTACTTTTAGTTGTTGGTTTGACAATCCCTGCAAGTGTATTTGAATCTTGGGCTTGTATGTCTCTCTTTAAGTGGAGTCTGCATGTGTGCGTTGACCATGTAATTGCTGTGCGGTGTGAGGAACACGAGCTTGCACACGGGCTTGTTCTCATTACATAAAGACAGGAATGGCACTTTACACTTCATTATTCATATTATTGATTGTTGTTGAGAGCAACTTCTTTGACATGATCAAGCCTTTGTTGGCATCCATTTTTGTCTGTAATATACAGTAAATTGACTTTAATCAATTCTAAAAAAAAACCTCATCACCTATAAAACCTTGCAGGCTCAACAGGCCATCAGCATTGTTGTATATGTTACAGAAAACTTTGTTCACTTCCTGTGTATTGACCTTAATATGCCTCTTACCCTTGATAACCACTCATGTGCCTGGTGAACCCTAGTGCAGCAGCCTGATGGAGCAGAGCGCCCATCTGGTGGTTTGGACAGATGAGTTTGCAGAGAGTGAGTCAGTGTTACCTTTAGTTCTACCACTCCGATGTTTCACAGATGCTTATATGATGCCTGGAACTTTAAGCTCAAATGTTTGATTCAGTAGTTTTAATTAATGCTCCTGCTTCATAGTGTCTGTCTGAATGATCCACAGAACAACCTTACAATCACAAATTGTTCTTGTGAGTACAAAGTAGTTGTCATAGTTCAGTGTGTTTTTGCTTTTTTTAGTTGTTCAGTTAATGGGTTGTATAGCTTACCTCTACAGATTTACTCATCAGAAGCGCCTTTGCTCCAGGCAGATTTTGGTTAAGTGCAATGAAAAATTCAGTGCTGCTACAAACATGAGCTGGATGCCTCAATGATTAGGTCAGCATTTATAGTAAAGCAAAGCTATGCAGTTGCACTCCGGCGTCACATAATTTCTCTAGTCAGTCTTAATCCGAATCAGAAGTGTTGATGTTTTTTCTTGGACAATGTGTTTGAGTCACTTTAAAGTTGGACTTTATAGCTTGCATACCATTTCATACCATAGCTGTTGTTTTAGAGTCAATTTAACATGATTCCTCAGTGCAGTTGATTGACCTAAAGCAATTTCGCAGAAGTGTTTTTAATGAGAAATACTCATTGATCAGTCTGTTAAATATCGTTTACTTTATGGTTTGTTTAAAGCAGAGCATTCCATTGTACTGTAATAGATGTCCTTACCATTTAGGGTTTGCTATTAACTGGTATAATTGAAAATACACATACTAGTCTGTCTGCACTTTATATACAAATCACTCTACTGTAAATGCAGTTCTGATGCAGAATATGATTAACCTTTAAAAACAAGCCACTGAACAGAAACAGTTGTCATAAGTTTGTTTTTACACTCCCTTTTGTTGAAAACACCGCAAGTGCAAACATGAATAAAACTGTATATGTAACCTGTGATTCATGTAGATATTTTACTTTCAGGTTTGTTAATGAGATTGATTTGACTGGTTTAAACTGTTCTCTGATATGTTGCAAGTAAGCAGGTTTTTTTCTTTGCTGATTTTTATCTAAATAAATATATATTCTCTCATGAAGCAGCTGTTATGTCCAGGTTCATGAATTAACATTTTCTTTGCATTGATCAGATAAAGGTTAAAAGTCACAGAATATGAAATAGAGTATAATTAAATTTATCTCTGGGTGTTCTCGGAATTTCTAATAGCCTTAGATTTTTATATGATTATGATTACTGCATTTGTGAAAGCTCTTAATTGAATTTCATCAATATCGTGATTCACTCAGGACTTGGGTAAAGGTCAATATAAATGGCAACCTTTTCTTAAAGTGTCCGATCAGATCCAGAAATGCACAATGCAGAGGGCCCTCTGTGATGTCATGGTTTCTCTACACAGTGACCTGTACAGTACACTTTTTAAATACTTTCCATGTGATGCTACATTATGCTTATGTACATTTGAGAGGCAAATATTTACTACAATTACAGCTCTATTTGTAGATCAGGATTTAACATACAAAACAAGCTTATGAATTAAAGTATATGACAGTATAATTAGTAAAAACAGGAAAAGGCCATTTCACTTTGCTCACGTGTTTTTGTTTTTTTACTTAGGTAAAGTAGGAATGCAATAGGCTAACAGTCTACTACTTGTACATAATTATAGCATCTGAGTACTTCCTCCACGCAGACAGTTTAACATTTTTTTACAGAAATTCAGCAGTAGCACAGTTTATTGTACCCTTTTCCTGTTGATTAATATGATTACTGATGTTCTAATTTGAGCCTGGAGTCCTGGCGTCTCTGTGCCACTTCGTTACAGGTTCGTGACCTCTAATGAAAACGTGATCGCAATCAGCAGTGGCATTTAATGTGTGGACGTGTCGCATTCTCAAAGCACGAGCGGAACAGAGCGCGCGCACCACCCTCCACCATCCAGCCTCAGCCTCAGCCTCAGCTGCTGGAGGGGGCTACACGCATAGAAAGGGGCAGGCGTGAACGCGCCCGGTTCCTCTCTCAATTCGCTCTCCTCAGCTTGAGCAGTGTTCCTCCGTGCGCGCTTCCGCTCAGAGACAGGCTTCAGGGAGCCCGGAGAGCAGACGAGTGACAGCGGGGGAGAGAGAAAGATGGAGGTGAGGGTCTGGGAGAGACTCGTGTTCCTGGCCGTGCTGTCCGGCGTCCTCTGGGTGGATTCAGTCTTTGGGAAATACGTCAAAGGCATCGTCAACACTAAGGAGGTGAGCGCTGGGTTTTCTTTACCTCTAATTTGTTGCCACTTGCGACAATGACATGGCCACAGACTGATAGGAGTGGGGAACGGACTCGACGCAGGTGTCTCTGTGTTGGACTGTTCCGTGGAAGAGGCTACGACCAGTTCACCGTTAAGTTGCCTGTTTATTGTCACACACAGTCTCCACTATTCTGCCTCGCAAATGAGCGCCTTAGATCTGCGTGCGTATCGTCTGTGGCGTATATTTTACTCCTTAGTCTTTGGCATCACTGTAGCCCCAGTAAGCGGCATCCCGCAACCCACAGCTACCAGTCGAGCCTCCGGTTGTGGTTACTCATCTTTAAGCCACATTCAGCTTGTCCTCTAGGATTTTGTTGCCATTCTTAAATGTAAATTAGCAGTGGTGTTTGTGTTTATTATTAGAGGACCCGTTACAGGTGTGCGTCATATGGCTTCAGGCGCGCAGCGGTGGATTTTGGTGATTGAGACGCTGGGGTTAGTCCAGCCTGGTCAGGGTTATGGGCATGTTTAGGGTTATGAGCCTGTTTTTAAATAGATCAGCATCGACATCATATAGTAGCTGCCCCGACAAGATCTGGGAGTTAAAACTGTGTTAACTGTGCAGCCCGACAGATACTGGAGCTCTGGTGGTTTGTAATTCAGGATGCGACCACCTGCTGTTCCACATCTGCGTTCTGTATTCTCACGAGTTGGTAGATCAAGTTTGACATGCATGGGTAGTACAGTAGGACTGTCTACCATTTTGTTGTGAGTTCAACAATACAGGCCACTATGCAGACACAGTAACAACACTGTCAGATAAGCCTTAGCTTAGATTATTTAGGGCTGTTAGAAAATTTGGACAATTCTGTTGAAATTTCTGCTTTGGAATTCAAAGTGTTTATTTTTCTGAAACAGCAGAAGGCACATTGTTCCTGCAAGGTCAGGTATGCGTTTCTAACCAGGGGTAAGGAAAATTGTTTACCAAACAGTCCATATTGGTCATAGAAACATAAGAAACAATACATAAATACAAAACAGTTTCTTAGAGCCAGAGGCAAGGTATGCAAATTAGTTGCTTCATCAGACAATTCAGTTTTACAATGATGTACGTCATAAAAGCAGCAAATATTCATATTTGAAAAGCAAGAATCATCAAATGTTTGGCCTTTTTTACTTGATAAACAGATGATAAAACAGTTGATTTTTCAGTCCGCTGACCGATCAGTCTCATTTCCACTTGGAGCTGCTCGCTGACCAACAGCAGGGGACTATTTTGTTTAAATACGTTGCCACCAAGAACCATTTTATCTCCTTTCTTTAACAGAAGGGGTTTTCAACTAATTGTGACCCAGAGACCACCATTCTGACTAAGAAGTAACATGAGGACCAGTGTTGTGGCGTGGCTACACAGGCACGATTTTAATCCTTTAACTTTTCTAAATTTTATGTGTTTGTAAGTAATGCATGGAAGTGAGTATAAAAAGAATTGCTACACTGAAACTGCATTATTGAATGCATGATCAGGGACTACCTGTTCTAGCTTGCTGATTTACCATGCTGACATTCCCTGAACTCAGGCTACAATAAATTTAGAACTGAGAGATTGAAGTCACCAGTTTGCATCTTCAGGATGACAATGGGGATCAAAATGGATAAATTGAACCAGAGGCACTCATCCATCCATCACAGCTGTTGGAGATGCCCTTGAACACAGCACTGAATCTGCACCTGCTCCAGTGGATATGCTCACTGGCCAGCAATACATTGTACTGGGCAACTTCCAAGTGTTAGTGTGTGTGTGTGTGTATGTGAGTGTGTGACACACTCCTGTTTGACTAGAAGAGCATCTACTATTGTGGTCCTCTGCAGTAAATAAGACTAGAGTAAGGCAGCCTGTC